CTTTCATTTTTGCCCCATGAAATTCTATTATATTGCTAATAAACTGCTCTTAGTAATAGATACCTTTCTCTCATAATCCTTCCATCTTGAAATCTCAGTATAATACATTCGTGGCCAACCTTTCTGCTACTGAATACACCTTCTCTCATCCTTAGGAATAGGAGCCTAACTTCTGGGCACTGCTTCCAGACTCTCTCCCTGCCATTGTCACTCAACAACTTTTTCTTCTCTATGATTCACTCCATCGAGAAACATCACCCTGTTCAGACTGTATTCTTCTCCCCCCACACACAGTTTTTTTATTCAGAACTTAACAATCCCCTTCCCTCAAAAAAGCACATTTCCATGTATATATAGCAGAGCATATAGAGGATTGCATATGCAACATGCATCTCCATTTCATACTCCTCACTCTAAAAAAAGTGTAAAATAAATTTCACTCTTTAGTTTAAAAACCATCCCAGTTGCCTTCTGAACTTTCTGCTATTATCTTCTGTACTTTTAAAATATGTTTTTGATGCCTTCTCATTTTGGTATTGCTATTGCTACTCCCTTCCTACCCTCACCTCCCTCCCCGCCAAGCCAGGAACACTGGTCTCCTTGCTTTTCCTTGAATAAGACACTCCATCTCCAGACTGGCAGCCAGCACTTTAATTGGTTGCCCAACGTGCCTGGAATTCTCTCTCTCCTTACCTCTTAACTGCAGACTTCTTTAGAATTCTATACCAATAAAATCACAGGTTCAAACCCCTCCCAAAAATTTACACACACAAAAAGTTACCAGCACCTTTATTCCAATGAAATTAGAATAGAATTTGAATTGAATAATGAAATGGAAAGCCAGGGTGTTTGAGAAGAAACAAACATACGAAGTCCACATTTCACAGGTAAACAAGTCGGGATTTTCCTGACATTACCAGAGATAGGGCCATAGACACATGGATTCTTTCAAATCTAAGCAAAAAATCCTTCTTGCAAGAACGCTGTCATGATCCCCTTACTGCTATTTATTACCTTCTCTCAGCAGTTATTTCCATTTTATCCTGAAGATATCTTGTTGGTACATAGTTTCATGCATGTTGTCTGCCTGGTTAGACTGTGAGCTTCCTGAGAGCATCCCCTTAGCAAAACCTAGTGCATAGTGAGTGCTTGATAATAACTTGATTCCCTTCTATTTTCCCTCATAAAACCCTAAAAACAGAACAGTACCTTTTGAAGGCATTAAGGTTCTGAAGGGGCACTTTATTTCTTTCCCCCTTATTAGAAAGTTTGCCCTAGATCATCACACAGCTCCTTCTAATTGCTCAAATAACTTTACCTTTCTAGATTTCCTTGGGATTGTGTGTTTGTATTTAAGTTCCTGCCCATCTCTGGTCTTTTTATCAGAAGTCCTTGAAAATTCTCTATTTTGTTAAATGTCTGATTATACTCAGCTTTACAGGGTATATTATTCTTGATTGTAAGCATATATCTTGTCATTTGGAATGTAGTATTCCAAGTTTTCCTTTAGTTTGCCAATTGTGTGATCCTGACTATGATTCCTTGGTTCTTGAACTACTTTCTAGATGGCTTGCTGTGTTTTTCTTTGATGTGGAAATTCAAGTTTTGTCTATAACATTATTGGGACTTGTCCTTTTGAGGTTTCTTTTAGGAGATAATCAGTGGATCCTATCTTCCTTTTTGCTGATGTTCAGAGCACTCATCAAGGTGCTCTTTGATGTCTCAGAACAGAGTACTGGGAAATTTCAGAACCTTGGAATGTCTTCATATTAGTATTGCCCTGCCTGTATTGGTTGCTGTCACTCCTTGGACCTTCATGATGCCCGTGGTGGGTTTCCAATTTCCTCAGGGTCTGGCTGGCTACATGTGTCTATGGCCCATCTCTGGTCATGTTGGGAGGTACCTGGCTTGTTTGCCTGTGAAATGTGGACTTTATATGTTTGTTTCTTCCCAAACACCCTGGCTTGCCATTTCATTATTCAATTCAGATTCTATTCTAATTTCATTGGAATGAAGGTGCTTGTAACTTTATGTGTGTGTAAATTTTTTTGGGAGGAGTTTGGACCTGTGATTTCATTGGTGTAGGAATGGCCCTCTACCAGTTCAAATTGATTAAGTGTCCTACATATTAAAGTGTTAAAATACTTTGATTTCAGCATTCAGAGGTTTAGTGCTTTACCTAGGGTCACAGCCAATTTTGGAAAGATGGGAGCTGAACCCAGGTTGTCCTTACTCAGAGGCTGACTTTCTGTTTATTACCACATATTGAATCTCCTTCATATATATCTGTCTGTCTGTCTATCTCTCTATCCCTCTGTCTGTCTTTCTGCATCCTTTTGTATTCTTGAGCTTTGAAAGTCCTTACAGAAATAATAGCAACTTGGAAGGCTTTGGAAGTCAGTAACTTTATAGGTATAGTTATATATTTTAATACCAAAAAAGCTGTGGACTCACTCAATCCTCCTTTTCACCTCCTCAATCAATTATAACTCTTAAAAATTTTAAGGCATATATCTTGAAGTAAGAGAGTGGCAAGGATAAAAGTTAAATCCTCAGAAGTGGGACCCCCTTAATCATTTGTAGTGGTCAGAGTCCCTAAGATGTTAATTATGAAGGGAAGAATAAAAGATAATACCTACAAATGCAGGACCATTAAGATATAAAAGCATAAATATGTGAGCCATCATTTTCATTACTTTGTCTATAGTTTTTTCATCCTTTTGTGCAGTAGTTGGTATAGAACCAGAAATATTGGAGGATTGGAAATAAGAAATGAATTGGGGTGTTGAGAGCTGGTAATATTTCATCACCATGCACTGTGAGCATATATCCTTGATGTGTTACTTAATTAATGTAAACCAAGAATACCTTAATATGTGTTTATTCCTTATTTCTGGAGTAAGAGGAACATAGCATATTTCATTGAAGGACAGAATTGAAAGGTGGAAGGGACTCCTCTCTCACCTTGGTAAATGCTGAAAGTAGTCTGTTCATTTTTCACAGTATGATAACTTCTCGCCACTACACACAGTATAGATACCTTGTGAACATTTTTAGGACATTCTTATAGAATCCTAGAGGTGAGAAAGTAGGCAAATAAAGTAGTGGTTATTGATGTTCCCTAGTTGCCTTTTTTGTTAGTGATACTGCCTGTGATTTTTATTTTCGGTTTTTCAATATCTTGTCTACGTTGTGCATTGATCCTTCATCATCTTTAAAATTGTGTGGCTTTCAGCATAGACTTCCTCTGTTTACTGGACCTGGTCACACTGTATTTCTCTTCTTTATATTCTTTAGTGCTATTTATATTTCCTCATGTAATATGTCAGGGATTATTATGCTAGAGTCCACATGTGGAAACTCCAATGCTATTGATGGAAAAATTAGTTTATTTTAGAAATACTGACAGATGTTTTCCATTTTTCATCTGTAGTCCTTCCCCTTTCATATTTCAATACTACTTTTTTTTTTAAAGACAGTTTGGGAATCAAATTGGTCCCTAACCAAGCTTTCTTAAAACCTCTTTATCTCTTGAATATTTCTCCTTGTTTTATAAGATGAAGCTTCTTGTTGTCTTTTACCATCCTCATCTGTAAAGTTTCATAAATTAATTTATATTTCTAAACTAGTGCTATCTTTGGTTGCCATGTCTTACTACTTGGGAAGAAAATCAAGTATTGGTCAGCTGAGGTAATTCCTAAATTTTTTTGGCCTCTTAATTTTGGTGATTGCTTTTATAAAGGCCCTCTGTAAATTTATGTTCATTTAATCATGTCTCATTTTGTTTAATATCAATAACTTGTTTAAATAGGTCATTAGGGCTATTTTTATTGCTCTTTATATCTTGTTCTGAACAGTATCTTAATTTGCTGTTGGATCTTGATCTAATAAGTCAATAGACTTACAAACAATAGACAATAGACAATCAACTCATTTCAAAATGATCCCTTTCTTAGCTTAATTTAAAAAAAATGTTTTTGTGTGTCTGCCATGTCCAATATATTTTATTTTAGCTCTTTTTCTCCAAGTTTGATTATTCCTTTTGTTTCGATACCACAGTTATTTTCCTATATTTACAGGTGATCCAAGAATGGTGTGATTATTAGTTCTTACTTCCCCCTTTTCCACCACTTTACCACCATCACTACCTTGATAAAAGAGGAGAGAAAATGACTGAAGGACATTTTGAACTTTTATTTTTTGGGTCCCACCAGCCAAAGAATTTACTGCTTGGCATATTTGTGATGAGTTTCTTTGCCCTTAGATAGTCTGGTCCTCAGGTAGTCTCTCACTGGGATTTTATTCAGAGCCTTTTCTGTGTAACAGAATCTGTCAAAGTTCGCATTTTGGCATAGCCTTTGAGATCTCAGTATCAACTTTACCACACTGAGACACCACAGGATGGTTTTTGTAGAGGAAATTGAGAAATACATTTATAGTTGTAGTTTGAGGCAAAAGTACTTGTGATCCAAATCTGTTATTTTATTTGTATGAGGAAGTTTTTTATCAGTGAAGATTCACAACTGTATATGCAACTTAAAATCTTTGTAGAGTTGCATGAGAACACTGAGATGTTAATGGCTTGCATGGTCACACAGCTAGGATATGTTGAAGATTCTATCTAATATGCCACATTGCCTCTAATGGCAAAAATCTATATTCTATTTGTTGATATTACATACGTTAAGTCTGAGTGATGTTTTCTCTGGGAACTAACTATAACTATATAACTATTTCCATATTGTGTGTATGTAGTGCTGTTTTGTACAATGTTATATTGTAAATTTATAAATATAAGTAGTTTAATAAGTATAAATAGTTTAATAAGTATGATCAACATATATAAAACTAAATAGATTAGAAGCAATAGTTATTTTGTAAATATTAGGGATTTTTCTTTTGCACATTTTTTTCTAATTGCCAACTGTATGACATACCACCTTTATTGTTTAACATGAAGATGACCAGTCTATAATCATGCCACTTTTTTTTTTCTCCAGATTTATTGTCTAGAATAGACTTGGATGAACTGATGAAAAAAGATGAGCCACCTCTTGAGTTTCCTGATACTCTTGAAGGATTTGAGTATGCTTTTAATGAAAGTAAGTCATGTATATTATATGGATTCATTTAAGAATGCTAATATAGTGTTACAGATATTAGTTGCTACTCTTACACTTGATCTTAACCTTTCATAGGCCAAGAAACAACTAGTTGCTACTTATAATGGATCGCTAGAATATCGTGCATATTTCTTTTTAGAAATAATGGTTTGTCTTTGCAATATTAGACTCTTTCAATCAAGTTAAAAATTCCAAGTTATAATTTTCTATAATTGTCAAGCCTTTTAAAGAGATGGTCATGAATTTGATCCAACTTTTTTCAGCCTTTGCTGTTCAGTTTTCATATATCTACTCTGAAGACCTAAGCAGATTATATGGAAAGATGCTACTGTTTCTTATGCTATTTTAAATTAAATGTCTGGCAAAGATGTATCAGTGGTATCATTTTAAAGTACAGTGCTAAATTTCCCCATCATCTTATAGGATGTAAATGTGATATACATCTATTAATGAAATAAACATTAAAATAAATTCTGCGCTTAAGATTTTGGAAGTAGATCAGACCAGCAATGAGAGGTATGATCCATTAAATTAATAGCAGATCTCCAGGTAGCTGTTTAAAATAGATAATGCTTTAATAGTTATCTATTTGTTATTTGACTGAAATGAATTGATAACCTATCAAAGTTCTAGCAGTTTAGGTATTTCTTTTAAGAATAAATTGTTGTTATAGTGTTTGTGAGGAGTCATATTAATAGTGCCTGATGAGATAAAATCGGTCATACATTTGTATATATGGAATAAAATAAAGCAAGTTTTAGTTAGACAAATTAGAAACTTAGATCATTTTTGAAACTTCTTAAATTATTACCCACAGTGGGGGCGGAGCCAATATGGCACAGTGAAAACAGTGACTTGCTTGAACTCCCCCCCAAACCCCTCTAAATACCTATAAAAAATGACTAAACAAATTCTAAAGCAGCAGAACCCACAAAAACAAATTTCTAGCCCAAGACAACCTGGATTGTTGATCAGAAAGGTATGTCGCGCTGGGTTGGGAGAGGAATGCAGTTCGGCATGGGCACATAGGCTGTAGCAAACCTGGAGCAGGCCTCAGAGGACTGAATCACAGGCAGCTGTGGCAGTTTCCAGACTTCTCAACCCACGAACACCAAAGACAACTTAGAAAGTCAGTGGGAAAAGTCTGTTTCTGCGAAAAGAGAGAAGCTGGATCCCAGCCACAAGTCCTGAGTGTGGCCCTGGGGCTGTGGCTGCTTCCTGAGCTTCTGACCCACTGACTGGGGGGGGAATCAAGTGGCTGATCAGAGGGGGATTGCAGGGATCTATTTGCCAGTGCTGAGGCAGACATCTCTTGCTTTGCCCGTGCTTGGATCTGGGTCACAGTTCTGGGTGGCAATCCTGGGGCGAGGAGGAGCGCTGGCATAGTGGAGGTTGTAGTGGTGGTGGAGAGGAAATCCTCCTCACAGTTCCAAGACAGAAAAGAGTGCTTGTGGTCCCTCATAGACCAGAGCACAGGCCAGGAAAGGAGTAAACACCTCACCCCTTATCATAGCTCCTTGGAAGAACTGAAAATTTACAGATCCCTAGAAGTATCCCTGAAAACAGCTGTGCAAACCCCCGAAGCTTGGGACAGTACATTCTCCACACTGTAAACAGACCGCTACCTTAACAGAGAGTTTATAACTCAAGTAATTGGCTGGGATCATGAGCAAGCAGGGCAAAAAGAGTCAGATATATTATCTTACTTTGGTGACAAAAAAAGATCAAAACATACAACCAGAAGAAGACAGCAAAGTCAAAGCTACTACATCCAAAGCCTCCAGGAAAAATATGAATCAGTCCCAGGCCTTAGAAGAGTACAGAAGGGATTTTGAAAAGCAAGTAAGAGAAGTAGAGGAAAAACTGGAAAGAGAAATCAGAGTGATGCAAGAAAATCATGAAAAACAAGTCAACAGCTTGCTAAAAGAGACCCAAAAAAAATACTGAAGACAATAACACCTTAAAAAATAGCCTAACCCAAATGGCAAAAGAGGTCCAAAAAGCCAGTGAGGAGAAGAATGCCCTAAAAAGCAAAATTGGCCAAATGCAAAAGGAAGTCCAAAAGATTACTGAAGAAAATACTTCCTTAAAAATTAGAATAGAACAATTGGAAGCTAGTGACTTTATGAGAAATCAAGACACTGTAAAACAAATCCATAAAGAATGAAAAATTAGAAAACAATGTGAAATATCTCATTGGAGAAACAACTGACCTGGAAAATAGATCCGAGAGAGAGAATTTAAAAATTATTGGACTATCTGAAAGCCATGATCAAAAAAAAAGCCTAGACATCATCTTTCAAGAAATGATCAAGGAAAACTGCCCTGATATTTTAGAACCAGAGGGCAAAATGGAAATTGAAAGAATCCACCGATCTCCTCCTTAAAGAGATCCTCAAAGGAAAAGTCCTAGGAATATTGTAGCCAAATTCCAGAGTTCCCAGGTCAAGGAGAAAATATTACAAGCAGCCAGAAAGAAACAATTCAAGTATTATGGAAACACAATCAGGATAATACAAGATTTACCAGCTTCTACATTAAGGGACCGCAGGGCATGGAATATAATATTCAGGAGGGCAAAGGAGATAGGATTACAACCAAGAATCACCTACCCAGCAAAACTGAGTATAATCCTTCAGGGGAAAAAATGGTCATTAAGTGAAATAGAGGACTTTCAAGCATTCTTGATGAAAAGACCAGAGCTGAATAGAAAATTTGATTTTCAAATACAAGACTCAAGTGGAACATGAAGAGGTAAACAGGAAAGAAATCATAAGAGACTTATTAAGGTTGAACTGTTTACATTCCTGCATAGAAAGATGATATTTATAACTCATGAGACCGTTGTCAGTATTAGGGTAGTTGGAGGGAAAAAATTATATGTATGTATATATACATATAGATAGATAGGTAGATAGATAGAGGGCACAGGGTGAGTTGAAGATGAAGGGTCATATCTGAAGAATAAAATTAAGGGGTGAGAGAGGATTATACTGGGAGAAGGAGAAAGGGAGAGGTAGAACAGGGTAAATTATCTCACAAAAAAACAAAAGAAAAAGCTCTTGCAGTGGAGGGGAAACAGGGGAAGGTGAGAGGGAATGAGTGAATCTTATTCTCATAGGATTTGACTTAAGGAGGGAATAACATACACACTCAATTGGGTATGGAAATCTGTCTTACCCTACAGGAAAATAGCTGAGGAAGGGAATAAGAGAGTAGGGGGATGATAGAGAGGAGGGCAGATTGGGGAAGTGGGTAATTAGAAGCAAATACTTCTGAGGAAGGACAGGGTCAAAAGAAATAATCGAATAAATTGGGAGACAGGATAGGATTAAGGGAAATAGAATTAGTTTTTCACAACATGTCTACTTTGGAAGTGTTTTGCATAACTGCACATGTGTAACCTATATTGAGTTGCTTGCCTTTTCAAATGAGGGTGGGTGGGGAGGGAGGAAGGTAGAATATTTGGAACTCAAAGTTTTAAAAACATGTTTTACAAAAAATGTTTTCACATGCAACTGGGAAATAAGAAATACAGGAAATGGGGTACAAAAATCTATCCTGCCCTATAGGAAAATAGAAGGGGAAGAGGATAAGAGAATAGGGGGAGAGATAGAAGGGAGGGCAGAATAGGGGAAGGGATATTCAGAATGCATGCCATCTTGGGGTGGGGGGAGGGGCAAGATGAGGTAAAAATTTGGAACTCAATCTTGTGGAAGTAAATGTTGAAAACTAAAAATAAATAAATTTATTTAAAAAAATTAAAAAAAAATTATCACCCACATCAGCACACCTTACTCTGTGTGTGCTTCCATGCTTTTAAGATTCCATTTAACAGAGTTCAGTAGTCACATAGACCAATTACTCTGCCTTTTCTCCGTTTAATTTAATAAATAGATCCCTCTTTCAGAACAATATAAGGAAACTTGATGCTGTTGTGGGGAAACTACATAGTGTTTGCTTTTAGATATAGAAGACTTCGGTTTTCATAGCTGTCAACCAACAAGACTATTTATTTATTTCAGCTTTCAGTTAATTAATTAATTAATTAATTAATGTTTAGTTTTCAACATTCACTTCCACTCCACATTACTCACCTCCCCCCCAACCCAAGACGACATGCATTCTGAATACCCCTTCCCCCAATCTGCCCTCCCTTTTATCACCCTCCCCCTTATGTTTTCCTGTAGGGCAGGATAGATTTCTATACCCTATTGCCTGTGTATCTTATTTCCCAGCTGTATCAACCTGAATTTATTAAGAGGTTATTATTTACCCTGGCAGCTTACTAAGAGCTGGCTATGCAAAGAAAGGCAAAGAGCTCACATTTTTTTTTTTTTTTGGTGAGGCGATTGGGGTTAAGTGACTTGCCCAAGGTCACACAGCTAGTACGTGTCAAGTGTTTGGTCTGAGGCTGGATTTGAACTCAGGTCCTCCTGACTTCAGGGCCGGTGCGCTATCCACTGCGCCACTTAGCTGCCCCTAAGAGCTCACATTTGAGTGATGGTAGGAAAGATGACATGCAAACAACCGTGTAAATAGAAAATATCTATATCTGTAATCTATCTGTCTGTACTGCTAACTCTTTTTCTTTTTCTTTTTCTTTCTATCCAGAGAGTAAATTTGAGATAATCTCAGAGGGAAGGCACTAATGTTAAAGGGGGGGACTGCAAAAGGATTCTTGAAAAAGGTAGAATTTAGTGACTTCAAGGAAGCCAGGAGGTGGACACAAAGAAAAATAACATTCCACAAATAGGGGATAGCCAGTGAAAATACAGAGTTGGGAGATGGAATGTCTTGTCTGAAGAACTAGTAAGGAGGTCAGTGTCGTTGGATCTTGGAGTACATGGAGAGGAGTAAGGTATAAAAGACTGGAAAGGTAGGAAGGGGCCAGGATATGAAGGGCTTTAAAAACTAAACAGGGGTTTTTATATTTTATCTTGGAGTTAATAGGAAGCCACTGGAGTTTATTGAATAGG